CATAAGGGCTGCTTACCCGCATCATGTCATAACTTTTCGAGCGCCGGAAAGGAACACAAGGGTTGGCTTGAGGGTCTAAGTCTAAGGGAGGTGGTCGAACACGTTAAAGAAAGAGGCAAGAAGTGCTGTTGCGCCCGAGCTTGTGTCAAATGTTGCCCCTAACACTTCACAGATCTTTACCCGCTATGTAGAGGCGCATGGCTTGGTTGCAGATGCTTGGGATGACCCCGGTGATTCGTAGCAGAATAAAATGTTTCGATGATAGGATAGAGAATTAATTAGTGATTCGTATACACCATACGGAGAGGGTCAAACGATTTCTGGCCACACGTTTCAGAACCTCAGTTGCGCTGGTCTCCCTGAGTCAATGGACAGTATCCATGCCTTTGCCTGTGCGACTCCACAGAGCTAGGCTTTGGCGTTGCACATGAACGTGCCGCGCGACGCCCAAGACTCAGCAGTTTGTTGGTGTACCCTTGGGGGTATTGAGTTCCGTGAGTCTATGAGCATGAGAGCCGTCATCCTGATAATCGTGCAGTGACCTTCTTGTCCAAGCTTTTGCAAGAGCTGGGGAAATTCATTGTTCTGCCGACTCCTGCCTCAGGGTGGTGCCGCGCATAGCACCGGCATTGTTGCGGACGCCCTGGCCCAGCACATCCGCTTGCTTGAAGAGAAGCGCGTCCAGAATTACTGTTACGTCCGCATTGCGATGTGACCCCACCCACGTTCTCCCACTTCTCACGATGTAGGACTTAAAAGCCTAACTGCCCAGTTATCTTGCCATAGCTCATGGGAGGGTCGGATTCCCGGCTGCACGTTTCAGGACAGTTTTGCTGAAGGCTTCTTGGGCATGGGGTTTGCCAGGCCCAGGCAGTTGAGGGGTCACTCGGACGGAGCAGATTGTTTGGCATTACGAATTTTCCAGGCCTAGGCAGTAGACCCTTGGGAGAACCAGGTTGCGCTTCCGCTTGGAGCTTGTACCCGCTTAAGTTTTAGGTCGACTAAATTGACCACATCACGACCTCTAGTTGGCCATTTGGCCATCCGCAATGCTACTAACTTGATCTAACTTGGACCGTGCCGAAAGGTAGGACAGCCCTCGGCTTGCTCTGCACAAGCTAAGTTTGAGCCAAGTTGTGACAAAAAGGTTGGGCTGTTTACATGTCCAACTAGCGCAATGGCGCAATGCGCACGCCAGGTGAATGGATGTTGACGTAGACTAAAGGGATTAGGGGAGCGTGCTTGGTTTTTCCGCTTGCAAGATTCCGAAACCAACCCCAAGGCTCTACATATATGTTGTCTGCCCCGACGTGAACTCGAGGGCTGGGGTTGATGTCCAAGGCAAAGATTCCAAGTCGCCACTGCGCTTGCTGGGCACATGCTGGAGCAGCCTGTGCCGCAAAGTGATGTGGATGCCTGGACGCAAAATCAGGTCATTGCCCTCTTGTGCCTCCTGTTCTGATTTCATAATTTGAGAATCCTTTCAGTTTCCAGGTGTTAAGTACACATGGGACGTGGTCGTACTTGCGGAGTGATGCTGTATGCAAGTCACTGTAATGCAGACATATGCAGACCACCAGAAAAGGCTGCAGTGGTAGCCCACAGTGACATTGATGATGTCCAGGCAGGTACTTGCAAACCTGGACAGAACTACCACATTCTGCATCACTCCGCAGTCGAGGAGCTCATCAGCTCGGCGCTGGCAAGGCATGTCCTCTGGCTGCCAGCAGACTGCCAGAGCGAGCTGGACACCAACGTCCAGATAGCAGCGACTCGGGCTCTTAATTTTTTTCTAGACCTTTGACGCGCCTCACTACCTTGCGGATTAAGATGAAGCAAGACCTCTGCCCTGCAGCGGCTTGGACAAGAGACTTGTGTGAATGCCTGGGCAGATCTTGCATGGCATGATGTATCGAATCTTGTGCAAGTGCTGGCATTGCACCGCCTTTTGATGTGGGCAGGGTGCCCAGCCTTGAGCTATGCTGTTCTTCGCGTGCTGTAGCTCCTCTCTGCCAAACCCGTTCTGCAAATGTAGGAGCATGGCAACATGAACAGATCCAGTGTTTGGCATCCTCACAAAAAGTGCTCATGGCCTAGCTCCTACCTTGCTGCCAGGCCTTAAAAGGAGCCCGCCCAGAACTACTGTAAGCTGTAAACCTCCAGCCGAGGCCAAAGCTTTGGCGAGGCAGGTGCTTCACACCGCCGCCGACGTCATTAGCACGGAGACACAAGGAGCGGCAAGCAGTCTGCGGGGAGGGAGAATGGCTTGAAGGTTGCGAAGGTGCTTGGAGCAGCCGCTCTCTTGGAGCGCTCCCATGACATAGAGTGACCATGCTTGTTATGCTTCATCTGCATGCGTTCCCGGTACTCCAAGTGATTTTGTCTACGCCCATCATGCATCGTGCAATGTCAGGCGGACTTATCCCAGAGGCTGCAGAAGGGGATGTTGCAGGCTGTTCGGGAGGCAGCTCAGACAGAACCAAAGCCCTGAGCTGCCCCTATTGAGGTAGGATTGAACCTGCCATCTGCTGTTCAGAATGTGCTGCGGGGCACTCCAGATAATTAGTAAGTAGGTTCATGGACACTTGGGTCGCCAAAGTTGCTTTTTGTGCTACTTGCTGCCCGGCTTCCACATGTCTGCAGGTGGCCTCCTCACCAGTGATGGCGTCGCTGCCTTCGAGCATGATGACATGGGCTTCGGGGGTGGTTGTGGAGGTGGCGGTGGCGATGCAAGCTTTGAAGTGGATGTTGCAGTTGAAGCTGGCGTTGGAGGTGGTGGGAGTGCTGCGTGTGAGGACGGCCGTGCGAACGATGGCCCCAGCAACTCCAGCAGTCTTCAGGGACAGAATCACGCGTCAATAGCCACGCAGGATTTCGTATCTGCTGCAGCAGTTGCGCTTGCACGTCATGTCGCCACATTCTCGCCATCAGCAGCCCAGAGCCGAAAGAACTGTGAAGACAGCGCAGGTGTCCCTGGAACGCAAGACATGACGAACCGGGCCGCAGCAGCATTGGCCGAGCATCTGTTGAGTTTGCATCGCGATACCTTGGTTGTTAGCAAGGCCTTAATGCAGCACATGCTCGGTCGAAGTGTGCGACCGCAGCATGCCAGCCCCAGGATCAGCGAGGCGGTCTTTGATGGGCCTCCAGCGCCACCTTGCAGCCCGCATGCATCCCAAGCTGCAGCAGACGAAGCGGAAGTTGCAGCCGCTCTGGCGCGGCATCTCCGTTCAGTCCAGGACGCGGCCACTCTTCTGAATGACGCTTCGTCTTGCGACAGCCCTGGCTCGCATGATACCTGCACTGTTGCTAGAGCCCTGGCGAGTCACGCGTTAAACACGGAGCCGGAAGCTTCAGCTCTCCTGGAATGCCACACAATGATGGTAGCGAGCGTGCTGGCACAACAAGCTTTGGGCAGATGATTCGAATGGCTTTTCAACAAGGCTCTAAGGCTAAAGGCCCTGCCTTTCCCCGAAAGGATTCCAGACGTCGGGATCCTCCTTTTTTGAGTAGATCGTGTATAGGATGTTGCCGACTTTGATAGGCATGACATCCACTTCGCAACAGACAAAGTTTTCTGATTAGCGAAATCAAGTCAACGCAAGATCCCAAAGGGATCTGGCTGGTGGAATGGGTGGCGGCGCTGGCTACTGAACTGTGCACCTTTACTTCTGGCTGCCATACAGGCACACAAGCTATAGATTTGGTTCAGGCTGAATGACAAGCCCAGCAGGTGTGACTTGCTAAGACTATCCATGAGGCAGTCGTTCCTTTCAACTTGCGTGCTTGCCTCTTCCCAAGCATCTCTAGAAATTGCCGCTGCAAACCGCCTGTGTTCTCGGGCTACAGATAGGACAGGATCTGAATCTCTAGTTGCGGCAGCCGCGTTCTTATGCTGAAGGTGAGAGTGAGAGGTGAGTCCTGCGGAGCCTATATATCATAGGACATGCTTTACAAAGTTTTGCCACATGCGCAAGATGATTCCTATCTTAAGATGTGCCAGTTTAGCAGTGGCTGGCCTGTAGTGACAAGGCCACGAAAAAACGCAGCATCTATTCTGGTCATGGGATGACTGTTGCAAGTTAGGATGGCCAAAGCTCCTCCTGCACATTGCAATACGTGACCTTCCGCTTGAGGTGCTAGGAGTACCGAGTACTGAGAACTAAGCATCACTGACTTGTGGGTTGCTGCCCGTCTGCACATGAGCTCCTCAAGGAGGCTTTGCTGAACATCCCGATTTGACAAGTTGATACAGAGTAGTTGCAGCCTTTGTTTCAAGCTAAGCTTGTTGTGGCAATGTCAGCTATGAGCCAGCTTCCAGAATCACTATTTTTTGAGGAAGCTTGCCAGGTGGGTGTCTGCAAGCCTCGCTAACAAGCGTCCTTTACCGGTGGGGAAGGACTAGTTCTGACAGACAGCAGGAATTCCTTGGTTGGTCAGGCAGGGTTTGCGTCTTTATATCAGCTGCAGGCAGCCTTCATATCCAATGTTGGGTCTAGTCATGGGTGCTTGCACTGCAATATACCGTGTTGTAAAGTGTGGTTTGAGCTCAGACTCTCAGACCTTGCCAATTCAAGCTAGGAGCTAGTGTGTGCATTCAGGGGCGGTTGCTTGCGTCGCCTGAGCTGTTGCGGCAAGGGTCAGATCAGCGCCTGGTTTGCAGGCATTCCGCTTGGAGTGGAAAAAGTCGGTCAGTGGCAGTGGGAAATGGAAGCGGAACAGACGTTGGCTACTCCTGCAAGCCTTCATGCATTGATTGAGGATCAGGTGCACAACGCACTGCATGAATGCAAAACCTTGACAGCCCTGAAAGAGAAGTGATTCAGTGATGCCAATCGACATCTTGCCTTGCTTCCTTTGATCTAGAGCTGGCATTTGTGCAAACGCAAATTATCCAATGAGCTTGCGACACTGCTGCACGAGTCACCCGTAACGACGTTGATACAACCCAACATATGGCTTCAAAGACACGTGCATGCAGTGCATGCTGTCCTCACCAGGCAAAAGGAAGCAAGCTGATCTTCGTGCTTGGTGGCGATGTCTTGCGTGAGACGGCATCGCTTGCCAAGGCTCATAGAACTTCCCTGGGTCGGGTGTGATGAGCAATCCGCAGTTGCTTTTTCTGCTGTAGTTGCGGGCATTCAGGTGCCATTTGCAAAAGTTGTATCACAGGTTCCCGAAGTCAAGCTGATGTCACGTAAATCAGGGCAAGGTTATTGAAGCCTCATCAGGCTGCTCCGCAGGCCGGCGCGCTGTCGGCAGTATGCATCCCCTGCTTGGCAGCCCTGCGAACAGCCCAGGTGATGCGGAGCCTCCACCAGCCTTCTGCGTCTTTTCTCCGAGTGTTCCACCTGATCACCAGCAGCAGGAGGGTGTCTGCAAGTGTCTAGGAGAGTCTTAGAGTCAAGCAATCCGCCACCAGAGGTTGCGAGTCTCACTTGTCGGTGCATGGGCAGCAAATCCTTAAACAGCAAGAGCCCGTCCATGGGACAAACCTCTCAGGACCCAACGGCTTTCAAGTTCAACCAGCAGTAGACTAAGACATGAAGCCCGTCTGCCCACACAGGCACAAGCTCCACTCGCCGTCTCTTGGCTTCGTCGTGCGCACTCGGGACGCCTGCCTGCAGCTAGACCACCTACAAACACCGAAGATTGACACGCGGCGGCTACATTTTAGTGCCACAAGAGCAACAAAGCCCTGTACAGACCCCGGACATCAAGGTTGAATGAGCTAGAAGATGATAGAAGCAAGCAATCTCCTACTGTCTCTGAGGATCGCTTTGGCTGCGACATTCCACAGCTGCCGGCGCCGCTGCTGGAGCTTCTGTTTTCGAAGAGGGCTTAGCTGCAGGCTTGAGACTCCAAGTTCGAGCGGCAGGTGGAATCCAGAAGGCAGCAGCTGTCGCAGGATTATTTTGCACGACTCCAGCTCATCGCGTTTGTACTCTCTTTTGTTTCCATTTTTGGCGTACAAGCCGCTACACGGCCCTCGGCATGACAAGATGTTGGATCTGAATACAATCAGGCTCACGAATCCTTCAGTGGCCTAGGGCCTTGGACCGCATTGAAGACATGCTGCGCATTGAATGGTCTAAGCTTCAGGGGTGGATCATAACACATTCGCGCGCAGCGTTGCCAGACATGGCCCTCCGCTTTGCACGCTCTCAGCCGACTGCCCATCCTGGAACGTGGAGACTTTGACTTTTTCTGAAAGCTGTCCTTTGCGCGCAAGGAGCGCATCCTGACGTCCACCTCTCAATGTCTCACAGACAGAAAAGTGAGCTGAGGCGGGCTGCTCAAGTGTCTATGTATGTGTGCGTGTGTGAGAGCCAAGCATTGTTTGGGATGATTCAAGTCGGTAGTGTGATACGACAGCCCACTTGCATTCTGATACAGCAAAACCCCGATGCGGCACTGCATTTAGGGAGACGCTGCGTTACCTTGCCGTCCATGAGAGACTGCTTGTGTATTTGATCAGGATCGCGGCTACCCTCCATGAGCAACGACGTGCGGTGCAGTTCTGTTTTCCTTGCGCGGCTTGCATCGCTGATCTAAGTAGTACCGGATCCACTCGTTGCTGCTATCAATCATGCACAAAATAGCAAGTCGAGCTCGTTGCAGGAGGATGTAGGGCATTCCACCTTTGCCACGCCCTTTCTCGCCTCTGCGCGCCCAAGCAAGACTGCAATCAAACCTAACCTAATGCTCCCCATATTGCATGTTTTCCGTCGTCAAGCGCACCTTCATGGTACGTCTTAGTGGAATGCAGTTGCTAGTTGTGGCCAGGAGACCATGGAGAAATCGTAACTACAGCAATCAGACAAAGACAATACAACTCAATAACTCGAATCCACCCGAGTAGCACACTGATGTATAACAGGGACAGTGCCTGCTTGCAGCATTCCAGTGTAATTTCTGGTGCCACAAGATTAGATTCGGAATCGTAGCGGCCACACTGTTTGAGGCTTAGCAGGCAGCTGCATCTGTAAGGAAGTGCGATGAAATCGTCATTAGAATGCGGTAGCTTTCAGCTTGGTATTCCGAGGGTAGTAGCGGCGACTGCACGTCATATTGACATATGATATTAGCACGAAACGAGAAGGCGGCAGAGTTCTAGTCGTGACAGGTTTTCTTAATCCATTATTGGCAACACCGTGCGTTGCAATCCGCGCAGAAATTTCTTTTACCTGGCTAGGGCTGGGGGTCGTGTGGCGTTAGCCGACAGGTTTGACGCGGCACAACTTGTACAGTGTACAGATGGCGCCAGCCCAAAGTGCGCACTGAGGTGATTGAGATTTGGTGCGCGAGCATGCTCTTATCTTGTGCCAGAGAAAGCAAGCCAAGCTGCCGGTACGCCAGTCACGTTGCAAAACCATGCCAAAAGCCACTTCCTGCGTGCTTGGCTGAAGGACGTCGTCGACAGTCTTTTGGATGCTTTTGAGGGCGCCGTGGACTTGACGGAGATGCCCTCCCTGCCTGACTTATTGCGGGTGAGCAGAGAGTTGGGGCAGAGTGCTTAACATGCACGGGTCAAGGTTGCTGTTTGCAGGGGTGCCGTGCTGGGGGTTGTACGTGTGTTGCCATGTGGATGTTTTAGGCAACCCCAACACATGATTCCTAAGTAATTGGCCATGCCGAGCGATGCAAAGTCTGCCTTCCAGCTTTCTCGTATCCAGTAACTACACAGTAGTGTGAGATGCTTGTAAGGATCAGTGCTGCAGTTGGCCTTTGATCGCTGACACCCCCGGTGTTAGGGTCCGGCGTGCTAGCAATCATGGTGGGCCTTCCCAATTCAGGGCATTCCAGCTGAGACTAACATGTGATTCACTGGCAGGTACTTGAAGCCGATGATGAGCGGCCCCCAACTCAGAATCGCAACCTGCTTTCTGCCCTATCTAGTTAATCTAGTTGTGGAGGCGTTGCAGAAAATCGAGTGTCAGGAATGCCGCAGCGTACTTCCAATATTCCAAGTTCATGCAAACAGGCCGATGCTTTTCTTAGTATTTTTCAGCATGCGTGGCATTAGCATCCCAGTTTGCGTCAAGCACACCAAAAACGTTTGATCAAGAGCATTTTTGGCAGTCACAACTTTCTTGCCATTGCGGCTCGCAGCATTAACATTTCATCATGGCAGGAGGACAGGACTTTGGTTGTTCTCGCAGTAGTTTGAGCTGGTAGACGGATCAAGAGGGCCAGGTGGGGGAGGGTGAGGCTATTTATTCGACCTCAAGAATCTCATCGGAAGCAAGTCCCCGACAAGTTATGTCTCGCATGCCATTGGAGGTTTCAGGATATTCGTTTGATCACCATGTTTGGTTCTTCTTTCTGTGCTCGCCGCACGGTCGCCAAGGTTATGACGGAGAGGCGAACGTCGCAACCAGTGTGCGACCCTTATACCGGTGTCATCCGGTGTCGATTTGATTGGATAGTGCAGGGGAAATGAGTGGACCAAACCGAACAACTTGACCCACGTCAGGCATTCCCGAGGTCTGGAAGAATTTGTAAAGTATGAAATCGGCTCAGAAAATCTACAGCACAGCAAGAAAACGCATGGGAAGCGGGAAGTGAGTGTGTTCCCAATCTTAGTTCAGAACAGTGCTTTTGTCCCCTCAATCACAACAACGGACACAGTCCAACTTGCAACGAAGGCCAAAGAGCGCATTGTGGAGCTCCAGAGGCGGCAAGCAAACCTGCAGGCACGTCTTGCTTTGTGTCGGAATGTCAGCTGAGTAGTACATAGTTTACTCGGGGATACTTTAGTCCCCAATAGATCGACTGAATTTGTTCTCCAATATAGTGTAAGTTTATAGCCTCTTTCTGGGGTAGAGTATCTTATATAAAGAATACGTACAATTTTACTGCGTTTGATCACCAAGAAAATGCTACTCAGCTGAGAGGGCAGTTACACCACATTCTTTTCCCACAAACGCATGCATCCTGTTCAGCTTTGCCTGACGCTGCGCGCTGATTTGTATGATACAGGTATTGCAGCCATTTGCAGCCGCTCCAGCGCGTGTGGGGGTCAGAATTACCTCGTATGAAGTGGCTGGGCGGTTTTGGATCAGCATGTGATCCTGCACTCCACTCCGGAGAGGCCTGGCTAGCCACACAGCTAAACGAGTCTCGCTCAAACACAGCCGCGAAGTCGCAGTTCCGGGCAGACTTCCGAAAGCCGGGCAGCGATGGTGGACTGGGGATTTACATGGGGCGTGTGCGTTTTCAGGGGGCGTAGGTTTACAAGGAGAGTGGAAGTGCGGTTGTCGCGAAAAGCACGTACCCCGCAGCACACACCCCAAGAAGAATTACTTGGCTTCTTCAACTGTTGAAACATACCCCAAAGCATACCCCATAAACAAAATTGATTATACTAAGACATGGACAGAAAACCCCAGCTCATTCTTTTTGGCAGGCCAGTCTGGTCGTGATGGGACCTTGCCAGGCCAGCTTGGTCTGTGAATCCTGGGGCTCGCATTCTTAGTGTATGATGAATGCGGATGTCCCCATGCTTTTCCTGGGCAATCGTTTCTGGGCTGACAGCATGATGGGGTTTGTGATGTTTGGCGACGGAAGCTCAAAATGCTCAGGCTCTAGGATCCTCTCCAAGAGACCTAAGCAGACATGGGCAGAGCATCGACACTCGCGTTGTAAAGCTTCAATCCCCTTGCAACGCTCAACTCTTTGGACTCTGGACTTCAATGGCCTCTAAAGCAGTGCGATACCGATTGAATTCAAAAGTCCGAGCCCTTGCTACTGGGAGGTGGGCAAAACATCTCTGACAGCTGCTGCCTGAGACCGGGCAAGGGAACATGACGAGGCATTGACCAGCAGCCCACAATATGAAAGTAGTTCAGTAGCGAGGCGGATGATTCCATACCATGTGGTCGCAAGTATCAGCCCCGCTTGGACAACCGGCAGTATGACTGCGCCATTATTGGCAGGAATTGTATTTTTTAAGTGTTTCTTGTGTATGTTTATTGTTTTTGTCCTCTGGTCCCGTGGTCCTCGGGTCCCGTGGTCCTCCGGTCCCGTGGTCCAGAGGTTCCCGGTCCCTTTCAAATGCTGATATTTGCAAATGCTGTAGTTTGCCGCAGTTGAAGCGTTCCAACACAAGCAAATGCTGTGATATACAGCATTTGAAGCATTCCAAGGCCAGCAAATACGGTAATTTGCAGCATTTCCCGTATTCCAAAATGGAATTGTCAGCGCTCCAAGACCAGTCGATTTGTAATTCACAGCATTGGACATGTTCCACGACCAGCAAATTGTGCAATTTGTAAAATTTGGAGCGTTCCAATGTGCCTTTGTCCAGCCCTGGTGTGGCTCCGTCCTGGTGTGGCTCCGGTCCCGTGGTCCTCTGGTCCTCTGGTCCTGTGGCCCCTTGGTTCTGTGGTCCTCCGGCCCCGTGGTCTGGAAGTCCCCGGTCCTTTTCAAATGCTGTCAATGGCAGCATTTGAAACAGGAATTGTATTTATTTTGAAATTATTTTTTGTTTTTGGCTTCTCGGCTTCTTGGCGTTCAGCCTTCTGAGCTTTCGGGCGTCGCGGCTTCCTGGCTTGTGGGCCTTCTGGCTTCTTGGCTTCCTGGCTTCTTAGCTTCCTGGCTCCTGGGCTTTTTGGCTGGCTTCTGTAGTAGTGGCAGCAGCAGGAGGAGTAGCAGTAGCAGTAGCAGTAGCAGCAGCAGCAGCAGTAGATCAGCAAGGTCATGCAGATCATTTTTTTTGCAAATGGTGGCGGCGGCGCCGCCCCCAACCCCTCCTTGCCCTTCTTAAGGCCAGCAATGCTTGGCATTGTTCATCGTTTTACATCATGTCATGACTCTCCATGATGTTCCATCATGTTTCATCATCTTTCAGCAGTTTCCATTTTTTGGACCATGCATTGTCATGTCTCATCAAAGTCACCAATTTTCATCACCTCCATCATTTCCCAGCAGTTTCCATCAGAAAAAAGTGTCGTGGCTGTGTTTGCAGTCAGGAAGGATTATGCTGATCATGTTGTTTGCAAGTAAGGGGGGCCGCGCCTCCCCCACCCCTCCCGGCTTTTTGAGGCCCTCCAAGTTTGCTGTAACAAAAAAGCATCATGTCACCAATAAGGGATGGTCATGCAGATCGTTCTGTTTGCGAGGGGGGGAGAGGACTGCACGCCCCCTCCCCTGAGCCCCCAAATCCCCCAAATCCCCCCAAATCCCCCCACCCCCCTCGCCTTTGTTAAGGCCATCCATGCTTTGCCATTTCATGGTTTTTATCATCTCAATACTTTCCGTGATCCCAACCCTCATGTTTTTATGCGAGGCCGCAAAAGCATCATGTCATCAGTAAGGGCGAGTTATGCAGATCATTTTGCTTGCAAATAGGGGGGGGGGCTGCGCCCCCCCCAACCCCCCGGCCTTCTTTTCATGCAATCCATGCTTCAATTGAATTGCGTCACTTTCATGTTATGTGTGCTTCATCATGTGCATCAGTTTTCATGATTTTCGGGCTTGAGGCATGATTTTTCATAATTTCCATCGCCTTTATCAGTTTCATGAATTTTCATCATCTGTCATGGTTGATTCATCACTTGTCAACATTTTCCATCATTTTCATGATTTCGATGTTTGACGATTTTCATCATTTCCATAGTTGGTTCATCAGTTTTCATGAGATTCCATCAGTTATTCATCATTTTGCAACATTTTCATGAAGTTGTTTCATCAGTTTTCATCAGTCTTAGTGATTTGTCATCATGTTTCATATTTTGCACCATTCTTCCTGATTGATTCATGATTTTCCATCATTCTCCACCATTTCACGATTTTAAACCATGTTTCATGCTTGATTCGTGACTTTCATTTGTTTCCATCATTTTCATCATTTCTCATCATTTTTCATGATTTTTGTGTTTTTCATCATCTTCATGATTTGTTCATCATTTTGCGTGTCTTTCATTAAATTTCATCAGTTTTCATCGTTTACCATCATTTTCATGCTTTTTCATTTATTCACCAGTCCAAGAGGGTTGACGGTTTAAAAGCGACGACAGCTACGAGGATCGTGACCCCGACGCACACGATCCCTGTGACTGTTGACTCTTTTGGAACCCCGACCCCCGCAATCCCTGTGACTGTCGAGAAAAACATCAAAAAACACACACACACACACAGAGACAATCATAAATGAATTCCGCCCCAGCCTTATTGTCATGTGTGGAAACATGCAGTGGATGCTGTTGTTGCTACATGTCAATTTTGATGGCCTAGGGTGGACAGGAAAGGAGAGGAGTGCAGATTTGGCGTCCCACCTACCTCCATCCATGGACCATTAACAAAGACGGGAAACCAACCATTCAATGTTCATTCGGGTCTTGCATATCCAGGCGACAGGGCCCCTAAGCATTCAAGCTGAGAAATACAGCGTCAGGATTGTTCGCATATGGCAATGCATGTTTCTTGCCGCTTACTTACGGTAGGAGCTCACACGCTGAGAACTGTGAGCAACAGACTGGTCCAATCTCGTCGAACACTTCCTGCTAAATTGCCGTGCCTCGGACTTGCAGTGCTTCATGCCTACCTAGCAGACCTTACTTTGAACCGCTGGAGCCCCAAAAATCTCTCCATCGACATCTAAGGATCCCTCACCTTCAGGGTCCCTCATCACAGAGCCCAACCAGAAAGGATGACTCTCACCCATGTCTGTCCAAAGAGCAGCCGCCTTGGCCAAGTATGCCCTCGTTGGCTTCGCCGCGCTTCCTCCAGCCGTTCCCTCCATGGTAGTCACACGCTGGGTGGGGAGCTCATGGGAGCCCTGCACTGTTGCACCAGGGTTCATGGCGAGGGGCTTTGTGCTTGTAGTCATGCCACCTGGGATTGCCTGTTGCTGCTGGTACGCACTTTACCTAACTGGTTTCATTGCCCAATCCTTGTTAGTTTGACTGCAGACCGAATTCCAATCTAGGTAGTCGAAGGGGCACTGTGAGTGGGCTCAGCACACTCCTGGCTCAAGCATTCAGCTTCGCACCTTCGACCGTCAGGAAGTCCCAGCCTCGGTGAGATTGTGATGCTTTTGAAGCTTAATTTACATTACACATGAACGAGACCTGTTGATATCCAGTTCGTCAGCGATCAGCCACCCAGGCTCTTGATGGTGCCATGAAATGCACATGGCACGTGTATGCAGAACACGCATGCTGTCAATACAGTGTTCGCTTCGGCTGGAATCGCCTCATCTTGGTTTCCATGGTCAGGACATGGCCGCCCAGACTGAGAAGACCACTCCGGCTGCCCCGGCTGCTCCTGCTGCACCGGCTGCACCGGCTGCTCCTGCTGCCCCTGCTCCGACACCAGCCGTGGAGGCTTCCTGTGGTTGAGCTGTACCCCGAATTTGGTTATGGTCTTACAATGCAGCTGAACTCAGAGTATTAGTCAGTAGTATTGCTGGGATTCCACAGGATCCTTTTCCAAGCCCCTCTGCATCACACCTCGAAGGACATTAATGCCAAAATCCGGAGCCATTCCCCTGATGTGACTGTCAAGTCATTGGGGCCAGGCGTCGGCCAAGTCCCAGCTGAAGGCCGGGCACGCCGGACGAACAGTTATCCGACGACTTACACACTTCGGGCCAGCTCAGAGCGCATCGGGTAGAGTGCACCAACACAGCCCGCTATTCAATCCAGTTGAGGAAGCAGAGCAGCTTCAACCTTTCCGTACCATCTCAACCCTCGAATCCTTGACCTTTGGCTCATTCAGAACAGGCCGTCAAGTCCGAACGCTCAGACCTCAACGTCGCAGCCAAGCCCAAGGCAGCTTCTCAGCAGGGGAGCAAGGCATGAACTCGTCATAGCTCGTTAGGATCGGAGTTGGTAGCAGGGGAGTTTCGTGTTCCTTTGACCTGTGCTCAGATAAGTTGGTTTTGTTTACCTTGTTTTTAAAATGTCTGTTTGCCGTGTACGCCGTGTACTCGAAGCTTGAGCCCTTGAGGAGGATGCCGCACCAACTCGGCTCGCCACCTTGCGTGATGAGGGCGCCAAGGTCTGCGCAGACATGTTGCTTGGATACAGTCAGGATCCACTCAGGCCTCCAGGTTATTAATTAAGATAATCGCTCGCAGATGGCCAGACGGTATGCCGGTAAGAAGCACAGCATGGAGCCTTTGATGCCTCGTAGATGAGTTCTTCTGCCGCAACTTGATCCTCTAAACTGTTTAAACTATGCATGCATCATCGAACTTGCGGTCCATCTGATAACCATCGATGTGAGAGCGCCAGGTCATTGCCGACGCGCGCGCCAAGGCAGTTGAGGCTCCTGCTTGCTGCTTTCCGGTCACATGTTTGGCAGCTTAAAACTGGACCTTTACTCCCAATTGAACCTGCAACCTCAAGCGTTGCATAATTTTTGGCCCCACCATGGTTTCGATATGTTTTTTGACAAATCGAGCGCGAGGTTGCAGAGCTGGCGGCTGTAAAGGCACAGACAGCGAAGGCCGGGAAGCTGCACCATCCAATCAAAGCATGTTGGCCCTTTGGTGTCAAGGTTGGGCAGGATAGCATTGTGACACATTGCACGCAGCATGGGGAGCTATTTGTTAGCTCGGAAATCTGCAACGACTCACGACCCCAAATCCCAAACCTTTGACCTGACGTGCTCCATGAAAAGTGGTGACCTTTGGCCTGAATGCTTAACTTTGAGCATGCCGAAGGGGTCCTACTAAACCGTAGATCGGGCCACGCAGAATTGGAGGCATTTATCCTTCATTCAAGCATGACCACAGCATCTTTGGCTTGAAGGTTCGAGCATTGGACTCGGTCAATTCCCTGCGGACCAAAGCCGGACAAGTCAGGCTCGGTGTGCTCAACCACGAGTACAGCACTATGCAGCGCAATTTAAAAGCAGGACGAGAAGCTCTCGCAGCAGAAGTGTTAGGCATCAATCACCATTGAATGCAAGGGAACATTCTTGAGCTCGGGCCCAATTGTACACATTACTGTACAGTGACACAGTCCAGTGTGCAGGCAGTCCGTCATCACCTCCGCTTCCGAAGCGAAGGAAGGGTTGTAGATGCACATCTTTTTGCGCATGTTCGAGTTCATGATTTGTGGGAGGATGTGGGGTAAGGCTCGTGTGACATGTGTTGCCGATTATGTGGATTTTCGGCGCGTCCTCAAGGCCGTAGCTTTGAGAGAAGACCTGCAGGATGCCGGCATTAGTCGGGCGAAGTTGGCCAAGGAGGCCGTGGGTGGGGCTCCCAGATGAAGTACTTGCATTTCTGAAGGGCTCATATCGATTATATCGATTCACATCACATCTTCCACAGCAGGCAGGAAGAACATAGCGCAGACCCAAGGTATCCTACTGTACTTAGCGCATCATCATCATCATCATCATCATCATCATCATCATCCATTTGTCTTTCTTGTCATGGTACTATGCCAGTATGCGTCACAACAGAAATGACAATGATGCGCGTTGGTCTCTAAACGGAGTCTTTCTGACTGGAAAGTGACAAGACGCCCAGTCAGAACAATACCTTCATTGGAAAAGAAGTGCCAACACGCTCACCGATTCCGATGACCGTGGGTAAAGACAACGCCATACATCAAATCGTTCTTGGGAGATACGAACTGCTGACAGTACTTCTAGCGCGGTTAAAGTTGACACCGCTCCTCGTCCCCTTCGTATTCAGAGAGCTTACATGTTTCGGTTTGTGGCATCAAGCGCGCGGGCACGGGGTTCTGAAACTCCAATACACCTGCCTTTTGAGCTATGACCTTTGCATTCCACAGCAGTTCTCTGCATTTGTCAGACCAACAGCTCTAATTAACGACGAACTTGAATCCAAGTGCTCGGTAGCTGCAGTCATCAGTCTTTTAAGAACCTGAGCCCTGACCTTGAATCCTTCTTGAGCCTGTACAGCAGGTGAGAGAAGCATGTGCAAGAGCGAACTCGTACATGCAGACGAACGGACCGATGTGCAGTGATCATATCCAGCATGCCGAAGAAGAGCGGCGATAGGCCAGCAAGAAGCCGTGCATGGAAACTGTCTTCGTGGCTATGCGTCTTGTTCGAAAGATGTTTCTTTTGTGTTGCTGTTCGTGATGGCCATGATGTTGATAAGAGCAATGATAAGAGTGAAGCATTCTTGCACTTCGGAACCAAATTTTCCAAATGCTGCTGAGGCGCCAGCTACACATCTCTGCGCACGAACGGCGTGCGGTCCTGGGTCTCCGACAACGTGCAGACTGCAAGGTGCAGAGAAGTGCATGCACGCTTTTCAACGCTCATGCGCCTCAGCGTCAGTCGCATTGTCTCGGGATTCGGCTGAACATGCAAAGTTGCTGTGGCTGTCGCATATCAGAGCCTCGAGACGAGGAGTTTGGCCTCTGCCGCAGTTCAGAGCTCACGCGCTGCGGCCATGCGTACCGTGGCACAACGGAAGCGTAGTGGGTGCAAGGATCGCAAGTAGGCAAAGGCAGAGCCAAAGACATTGTACTGGCTTTGGCAGAACTCGGCAATTTAGTACCCATTCATATCCCATAAAGGCTCACCACTGAGAGTGTGTCAAGTCGGGCTTGCGAGCAATGTTTTTCCCTGCGCTTTCTTCAGTGAGAAGGTTGGGGGGGTCGGGGCCAAGGCAGTGACTTTTAATTTTAGCACCCATGGTGCAGTGGGCACAATGGGAAGTCGCAAAGTTACTCACAATATTCATTGTTGCATGCCGTTCTAAACCACCGCCTATACGGCAGAATTAAGGTTTTGCACGGGATTGCGAAACCCCAATGTGCACAAGAACAAATCTTGCCTCATACACATTGAATAGGCACGCAGTATCATGAAACGCGTGTAAATTCCCGCGCGCGCAAGACGGCGCAAGTGGGGGGGGGGTGGCGCAAGGAAACCCTAATGCTGGGGCATCTGCACGAGAATTTTGAACAGCGTCCACTCAACAAGAATGTTCTTTTGAGTACCCATGTCCCGGAAGTGCAACCTGTAAGAGATTGCTGGCAATCAGAGGCTGGTTGTCGCTCTATTCGGGGTCAACTTCCGGGAGTTGAGCATGGACGTTAATGATCAGGGTTAGATTGCCTGATGCAGGGACAAGCCGGTCTTTGGTGACCCCTCCAGCACACGGTTTGGACTTAAAGGACCCTCAAGTCAAAGACTGACCGCACTTTCAGCAGGCTGAACCAAAGACTCCAAGCCAGTCTGCCCCAATTCCTCATTCAAGGCCAAGTCCAGTGGTCCGTGGATTCCTCCAAGGCAATGGCCCAGTCTGCCGCTGGACCAATACTGTATAGGGATGCGACAGCATCTTTAGAGGCTTTGTCAAAGCTGAAGCGTGTCTTCTTCAGTGTTTGTCTGAAAGCGTTAGGATCCAAGGTTGGCAGGCTGCAAGAGTAGCGAAGGCCAGCTAGCCTGGTGTGACTTCCTTATGCCGCCGATTCATTCTGCAACATGAACTGAAACAGCGTCTGTACACATCCAGGTGAAAGCCGCGATTCAGACTCGCATTCTGAATGCCCAGAAGGCCGTGATTGACACTTACGCCAGGGCCTCGCTAAAGTCGGCTCAGGTGATCTGACAGGTGCAGCGGAAGAGTGTTCACGCATGTCCGAGGGATCCTGCAATGTCATTTTCCAAAGCCTTGTGCTTTTTTATGTGCCGCATTTCAGGTCTACTCGTTCGTTGCGTGCTCCTGTTGTTAAGTCATCCTATCGTAAGGCTAACATCAAAATATGTTGAAAAGGGCTTGAAAACTTCGGGACCTTTATACCAATTGACGTGAGATAAGGGCCCATCCCTGGAGATCAACAGGAGCACAGGGTTTTTCACAGACGCATAAAAACAAGCTTCCAAGGCAATTTCAGAGAATAGAATGAAGCCCAGAGATTCCATCTAGGAATTTTCAGTTGTCAAAAATGTGAAGCCCCCTTCCTACCTGCACAGGCATGCCTTAACGTCTTGTTCCCGGAGAGTTTTAATTCTGGGGGGGGCCAGAAGCGAGTGTTCTGGACCTAAGTCCAACAAAGTGTATGGATCCTGTCAAGCTACAGACTTGCACGTCCTCAATTTCTTGCCGTTTAAAGACGAAGGGTGGAGTGAGCCTGTGGGGCAGTAGGGGCGGGAGTCAATCCCTGATCTCGTAGAGCTAAATTCTTACTGGCAAATGCAAAATACATGAGTACGTGTGCCTCGATCCTAGTCCTTATCTCAAGCCCTACTTAGTCAATTATGTGAGGACTGGGTATGAACGGCCTTGCAAAGAAGGAATTCACGTTGCGGATAGTTGAAACCATCTATGTTTGTGACGGATACGGAATGGTATGGATGGTGGATAGGGTTGGCTGACACACCAAAATTCCACTGAACAGCGTGCTCTACGAGGCCCGGGGCAAGAGCCAGGCAGCAACGCGGCGGCAAATCTTCAACAAATTCATATTCTGGCAGGCATCCTTTTCAGGCACGATTCTCGCACGAGGCTTTCTGCGGTATGTTTATTATGCCAAATCCCTGCTGCCCCACGAAATGCAATGTTGATGAGCAGTGCTTTGTTGGGAGTGCCTTCTTTAGTTACCTTGCCTCGTGCGCAGTGGATCAGCTGATGCAGCTTTTGCAGCCTAACAGGCTGCTCCCTGACCCCGCGCATGCAGGGCGTGCAAGCGAGTGCATCCTGAGGTGAAGGCCGTGGACACCGCGAAGACCAAGGCAAACCAGGCCAAGGAAAAGGCAAAGGAGGCTCGCTGCGGCCTGTCCTAGGCTGTCTGGTGAAGCTATGAGAGCGCGTCAGATTCGCCTGATGACATGGGCTGTCCCACATACTGGTGCTCGGCAGGTGGTTCACGACAAGCATGTGCAGGCAGGACTGTGGACTATGGTGTGGTTTCCGGAGCAGCATCGCGCTTGCTAGGTCTGAAGGAATACAGATCAGTAGTCCTGAAGCAAGCCTAACACCGCATACGCTGCAGAGGCCGTACGGTCCCCACTGAAAACTCTGAAAGTCCCATTCTTCATGTTCATCTGGTTCATCATTCGTATGAGAGCAGTGCCACGCTGCTCGAGCCTAGTTTTGTGAGGATGTAAGCTGAGCTTGAGGCCACTGCGGCTGGGGTCGTGGGCGGTGCAGCCACACTTGGTGTGCCTAGATGCATGTTGAGCAAGACTGCTTGGGATCTTTTGGGGTCCTTTAGGAAATGTGATTTGAAAAACAGAGTGCAAAGTAAAGCACGAACTCAGGGCATCGGCACCTCTAAAAAGATCAGGACAACCAGACCAGAGTCAGAGCGTCGATAATCGGGGCGAGCAGGGGTTTGTCCTGGTTGGACATGACAGTTTTCAGATGGGACAGAGCAGCGGAAAGCTCATTGCGCTTCCATCCTGGAAAGTTCAGCTTTGGTTCTGCAATCAATTTGCGAAGAGGCTACTAACATGGCACGTGCCAACCCATCCTTGGACAGGCATGATTGCAGGCCTGATGGGAAGACGGTGCTGGCAAGGCTACGTCATAGAAACAATACGTAGAAGCAGTGACGCTGCCAGATTCAGGGGCAGCATGAGGAGCAAAAGAACTAGCATTGGTAGTGCCAGAAGCAGAAGCAGGTCTAATTCTTGTGACAGCTACCAGCAGAATGTATTTGTCGTAATAACAAAGTTAGAGAGAAGAGGTCGACGAGGACGCGCAGTAGTCAAGAAGGATAAGAGGAAGAGCAGGATGAGCAGTGGGAGTTATAGTCTCATGACTAGTTAAGGTGTCCGGCGGCGCAACTGGTCTCGCAGTGCCTTGGAATCCAAGGATCGATCGGTCCTCCTATGCTTATGCCTATCCTTGCTTGCAGCTCTTAGGAC